ACAGTAACTTGTGGGGTGTTTTGTGTAGGGGAAGAGTGGAAGCAGATTAGGGGGGGGGGAGGGGAAAATGTGTTGTTTTTTGCTCCCTGGTTGGTGGGGGGGGGGGGGGGGGGGGGGGAGAGGGGGAATGAGAGAGAGATGGATGGATGGATGTTGTGGGAGATGTTAAAGTGTCTGAAAGCTGATAACACTCTTCTCCTTGCTGCTGTTTCGTGGAAGCCTAATAGGAAACTTCCTTTTCCAGGGTCATCTCCTGCCCATCAGCTCACTGAAGCTGTTACTCCTTTTCTCACAACACTGCTACAGTAGTGCACATGTACTTTGGATAAATTGCAACATACAGAAAAGACATATAACTGATCTGATGAAATATAATGGCAGAAACAGCATAGTTTGGGGCAAGTGTTTTGTGACATACCAGTGTGTCAGGCATTACCAATCCTGGTAAAAATGTCCAATGGAGATAGCGCCTTGGCTTTACTTGTTCTACCCTTAAAATCTTATCTCCTTCTCCCTGTGTAGCTTGTCATTTTAGCATGTGAACATGATGGCAGGGTCTCTCCCTCTTTTTAAATTCATATTAGCCACTCTGCGAGACTGTAGTCTGAAAACTGGGATAAAAATGCAGTAAGTAAGTAATACTTATAACTATCATCTTCATCTACAAACCACCTAAGGGTACATTCCTATGCTTGTTTAGACAGGAAAAAACTCCTAAATTTCCAGCATGTCCCAGCCAACAGGGCTGGCTTAAGACACACTGAAAGATGTAATGCTTTTTCTTCTGTTTAAGCAAGCACGCCACTGAAATCCTCCATTTCCCAAGTTAACACAGTTTAAATCGCACTGTAGAGCTGCAACCCTCTCGCTATTGACTTGGAAATAAGCTTCATTTGCCACAGAACGTACTTCGAGGGAATAATGCAAAGGGATCTGGCCGCAAACAGTGCAACAGCATTTTGTATCGCAGTTGCCATGGTAACCCATCACCAGCGGAGACTAACGCAGCTACCCCAGTCATGGCTGGCCTAGGAACCAGGCTATCGACCAGCACGTACAGGTTGGGGAAGCCTGGCCTGACTCCTCCAAGTCGCCCTGCCGCGGTTTAAGACCTCGGAATGCGCGGCATCACCAAGCTCACCTCGCCTCACGGCCGCCATATTTCCATTCCGCCCCGCCCCGCCTCAATTCCTCCCCAGCATCCCAGCAGCCTTTGCGCAGCTTCACTCGGGGCTTCGCGAGTGTCAGCAAACTGCCGTCCGTTGGTTTTCGCGCGGGGCGGGATCGCACGAACAACTTCGTCGTTGGCTCCCTCGGAGTCGTTCGGGCTGCCTTGCGAGGGGCGGGATTCAGACAGCCTTCGTCCCCGTTCGGCCCTTCCCCTAGGTTCGGTCACAGCCGAAAGGATTCGGATCTCTTCGGCAAGCGCCGTAGATCGTCCCTTTTAGAAGCCATGGGTAACCTAGACCTGTTCGGGCACCTTCGCGATCTTTCGGCCCAGTTCTAGATCGCCTCAACGTGCGTTTGGGATTGATCGGAAGTGGTCGGTTCAACTCGGAAACTCCTCGGGATCACCCGGGTGAGGCCGAAACGGACTCGCGGGAGGGGGGAACGCTGTGAAGCTCGCCATCGGAAGTACTCGGACAAGATCGGAGAAGGCCCTGGGCTGTGTGTTTTCTGCTCGGGATCCCTCTATGTGGAGCTCGGGTGAGATCGGAGAATAACTGTCACTCGGACGGGCTCGGCTAACCCCGCGTCGGATGGAGGACTCGGACTCGGCCGCCAAGCAACTGGGTTTGGCCGAGGCGGCGGCGGTTGCTGCTGCTGCTGCAGTCGCCGCAGCAGCGGCAGCCGCCGCGGCCGCAGAGGGCTCAGAGCAGCAACACCACCAACACCACCAGCAGCAACAGCGCGGGGAGGCGACTGGGTCGGGGGCGGAGCCGGAAGAGGAGGTGACGGCCGTGACCGTCATGGCGGCGGGTGCCGAACACATCGAGATGGGGGCCGAGTCCCTGCCGAGCGCCGACGAGGCCGCCGCCGCCGCAGCCTTCGCAGGTCAGTGCGCCGCGCGCATGCGCAGAAGTGCGCCGGCCGGCTAGCCTTTTACGCTCTGTCTGCGCTCGTTGGTCAGGTTCACACATGCAGGCGTGCTCAGCGCAAGTGGAGAGTCGCCTCTGGTGAACGGTCCCTCATCGGTTTAACGCCACATATAAAATTTGCAAACAACGCTTGTGAAACAGCTTGTCTGTCGAGCATCTTCGCTTCGGCTCCTACCAGTCATCACGTGTATAGAAATCACGTGCATGTGTCTCCGCGTTTCTTGTCCCTGGCAGCTTCTCTAAACCGTTTTAACAGCGATTTGACAAACTGAAGTTCAACACATGCAGATTTCATCACCATCGTACCATTCGCATCCCTAGAAAAAGTACCAATTTCTGCCTAACAGCCAACTTGGAAACCTGTTGGTGAGCAGAGGAGGGGGATGGAGGGAAGGCTATGACAACCCTAAACACAGCCATCATTCTTAGGTTTGCCCATACACACGTTCTGTATGTTCCACCCTGAAGGATCACACGAAACACGTGTACAAACAGTACAAAGCCAAGCACAAACAGCCAGATTAACAGTGCATTCCTGTGCATGTCTGTAAGTTCCACTGAACTCAATGAGACCTTAAAGGGTAAGTGTGTACAGGATTGCAACCCATGGGATGTATTCTGAAACCTTATCCTGTTAAAAGCTTAACCCATGAACTCCAAAAATCAGTGGAAGTAAAGAGTTGCAAAGTTAATATAATGAAAATGATGTTTGTCCTTCATTACACTCTAGTCTTCTTTCCAATAATTACCTTGATTTATCGATTGATTGATTGTGTTCAAACAACCAAGTTTATATAAATATTTTATGTATTGAAATGTTCTCTCTGGGAAGAGGGAAAGACGTCTCAGTCCGGATGGGCAATTTTGGATAGTCTTTGAGGGCCACTTTCCAGTCCCACACTTCAGGGGCCAAACTGGGGCAAACTCCTATGGACACCTGGAGGACCACATTTAACTTGAGAACAAACTACATATGGTTTTGTTTTGTTTTTTAGTCTCCTTGGCAATTTGCTACCTCACTTTGGCGAGAAGCCATTGGGGGCTTGCTCTTCATTGTTGTACTTCAGCACTGGGGCTGGCAGCATCAAGGGTGGTGAGTGCCATGCTCAAGGCTCTGATAATCTCCATGATGCCTATCCCTGATTTTGGCATAACCCTCTAGATCAGGGGAAGGAGATCTAAGGCCTGTGCATAAAATCCAGTACTTAGAGATTCCAAACATGGCTGACTGTCAATAATTTGCTGTTTTCCAGTAGTTGCACCTTCCCACCCCCTCACCCCATTCTAAAACCGTGAAATTAGGTTTAATTATGAGCAATAAGAGCTTTAAGTTAAAATATGCCAGTATTTTGCCCTGCTCACTGTCCAAAGACAGACATCCATCACTGGAATATGGCCCCCAAAAGCTTCTTTGGAATTCAGTTCAGTTCTTTGGCTAAAATAAGTTCTTTCCCTGTGTTACATGATTTTTTCACGGAAAACAAAATAGAAGAAACAACCAACATTGCATAATTACAAATAATTAAATCCATTTAAATCTAAATCTTTACTATGAGTCTATGATATTTTTGGTTGTATATTACAGAAGTGACCACAGTAACAGTAGCCAATGTGGGTGCCTCTGCGGACAATGTTTTCACCACTTCAGTAGCAAATGCAGCATCTATCTCAGGACATGTGCTGGTAAGGTCACAGTTCATCCCATCCCCAAAATATTTATTTTTGCATATTCAATATTTATTCTATGATAAGTAGCCGCAAGCTTTTTTGTGTCTACCTTTTACAGTTCATCAGTCCTCTTGCACTGGTGTATCTTTAACAGCTTTATTCAAGAGTGTGGGGGCGTATCCATTATTCTGTTTTGTTTTTTGTAATCCCATACTGGACAATCTCACAATTTACTTGGTGGCAGAACCAGGGTGGACTTGATTTAAATCCAATCGATTTAAGTCAAGATTTAAAGCACTAGTCAATAAGACTACATAATTTGCACACATACTTATCTTACCTGAGGGTAGAGGAACTTCATTAAAATATTCCCAGACTGGGTCTCTTTTACAGCCTGCTGCCATTATAGAATTTCTCCAGGAAAAGAATGCTAAACCTCAGGCTAGACACAAAATGATCCAAAGGAGCTTTTCTTCTGGAGTATTCTGTTCAAAAGGTTTTCCTTTCCTTCCTCAAACTTAGCATCTTGTGCAGACCTATTCTACTCCCAACAATCATCTTCTATTAATTTTTTGAAACTTAGCATTTAGGAGGTAAGGGATTGATTCTGTGTACATAGATTTGCAAAGGAACAATGGGATTAAGGTCCTTTTCTCATCTCTGTATGTTTTATAACATTTTTGCTGAGAAGAAGAGGCATGTGATCTCTGCAGACACAAATTTACAGTTTTGAGAATTGCAAAGCCAAGTACCTGAGATCATCCAGAGAAAAATTTGTCCAATAATCTTATAGAAACCTATAGAAGAGCATGACATTGTGGATGGTTTAATGGAATTCATTTACCAAAAAAAAAGTAAACATTGCATGAATATACAGCCTCATGCTACCTAATTAAAAACTAATCCTTATTTCATGATAAATAACCTTTGGATTATAATGTATCATAAATAGAAAACAATCTTTAGATAGATTTTTTCTCAAAAAGAGTTTTATTTTAAAAATCCAATTTAAATTTAAAAAATCTGATTTAACTTTTAAAAATCATTTTTAAAATTGTTTTCCCCAAAAAATTACTTATTTTTTTTCACGCTGGGCAGAACCAGGATCACCAAAATGACGTTGGGGTCAATGGATAAAATTCATTTATCTGATTGCATGCTGCTCCTGATTTGAATATGCAACTTCCAGTCAGCTTAATTGTAAGCTGTTTCATGACATACATACACAAAAATTTTGGGTTGTTTGTGGGTTAAACAATCCAAAGTTATCCTGCAGTATTCAAACTGGAAGCTGCTTACTTAGCTCGTGATTAATTTGTTGCTGTTGCATTCAAAGAGGCCCACTAAGAATATGGGAAATATGGCATGCCTGTCAACTTGTGCTCTTCCTTTATTCTGCAGTCTGGAAGGACGGCTCTTCAAATTGGGGACAGCTTGAATGCTGAGAAAGCCACTCTGATTGTGGTTCACACGGATGGCAGCATTGTAGAGACAGCAGGGCTAAAGGGGCCATCGGCGCCTCTTACACCAGGTATAAGGTGGCCTTGCAGGGCTTTTTAGCATGTCATTCCTACAGTTTAGTTTCCTGCCTTTTATGTAATGAGTAGCAACTCTATGGTGATGTTTTTGTGTCTTCATATAAACTCTTCTTTGGAGTATTACCCCTTTACTTTGTGTTAATATTTTCTAAATGTTCTCTTTTATATCCTGAGTGATTCAGGGATTGTCTTAAATCACAAATCTAAACAAAGCATTTTAAGAGTGAGAGATGTAAGAAGATATAACATAAAGAGAAATTTACCATAGGATCACAAAGTTTTATTGAACTTTGGAGACATAAGCATATTGTGTTGGATAGCAGCCACCAAAATCCGTGGGATTTCAGTTAGTCATGACTAACTTGTCTCTTGATTTTAATACAGTATTCTAAGAATGTCTTACTCCAACCTAATATTCTTATAAATGTGTATCACTTGGTTCCAGGAAGCGTCAGGCAAATGGACTGCTGCTCATGTAGCAGAAATGACCTACCTTTTCAACTAATTGCACTCCTCCCTGTCAGCTCTGGAGGGTCCTCTGGGCCTCCACAGCAGATTTGGAGGAGCACGGGTGGGCAGATGGATACTGTTGGACTTCACATTGTGTTTTTGAGTATTGTGAATTCCTCCGTATCTATTTTTTTATCTGGAAGTATTTATGCTAATTTAAAGGTGCAGTATTCTGCATATTTAGACACAAAAAAAGGCCTAGTTCTCAGCATGCCCCAGCGAGCCATGCAGGGAGTTGTAGGCATTTTCTCTGCCTAAACATGCAGAAGTTTGCTCCTTCAATGCAGCTTATTTATTGTATAGTCTTCCATACACCAGTTTTGTTATCTTTTCTATTACGTGTTAGTGATGATTATGTGGTAAATCAGAACGAAAACAAAGTATACATGGATTTATGGTTGCCAGCACCATGTTTACAGAAACCACAAATCAGTTGGAATTCTGTGTACTGTATGGAAGATCAGGTTCTCCTAAAACAAACCTGCTCAACCATTACGGCCAATGTTTGTGGCTCTTCTCTGAACGCCTTGTCCAAGGGTTGCTTGAAGGGTGACAACAAGGGGATAGCCTTCCCATGGTGGTTCCCCAACTGTGGGATGTTCTCACTGAAGTCTGGCTGGCACCAATGTTGGCATATTTTCAGCACCAGATTAAGATTGATGGGATTTTCCTGTTTTGTAATTTTTATGAACCTCCTAGAAAACATTAGGTATTGAGCAGGATAGAAATAAAACAAATTAATGAAATGTTAGCCCAAATAAATGGGAGTACGTTAACAGTGTACAATCTTATGCATGCTTTTCTGTCTGAGCATGCATAGTATTGCACTCATAGAGCCAAATACTCTGGTTTATCAAGTTCATTTATCAGTCTTGATAATGTATGAAAGCAGCAAATTTCTACCACTTTGAATAGCCTGCATTTTGTACAGAACTTTCCTATTTCATGCTAGGTAAGTTGTCGACATAACTGGTTAGTTCTGTCTCTTTCTTTGTATATTTCAGTCCACCAACATGGTCATCTGACTGACTGCAGTTGCCTTGAGTGATGACATATAAGGAAGCCATTCGGCTTCATATCTTAGTCTACTCCTACCTGGTGCCCTCCAGATGAGTTGCCTGAGATGATGGACATTGTAGTTCAGCACATCTGGAAGACACCAGACTGGGGAAAGTTGCCCTATCTTAAATACATAGTTCAAGATCATTATTGGTCTGTCAGGCTGGCATTTCAGTGTTCTCCATGTGGTGGCGTAGTAGCTGTTTGAACAAAATGTGACTTCCTTTCCATTAATCTGCAGGACCTCCATCCCCTCCCACGCCTTTAACATCTGGACAAGACAAAGGTGGAACAAAATACAACTGGGATCCTTCAGTGTATGACAATGAGCTGCCTGTGCGATGCCGAAATATCAGTGGGATCCTGTACAAAAACCGACTTGGCTCAGGTGAGGCGTCTCATCCTCCTCTTCTGACCTGAGGGAATGGCTCGCAATCCTGCAGAGTTTCTCCTTCAGGCTTGAGAGCAGGCACCAAGTAGGGCTGACCAGCTTTCAGCTTACATTGCTGCAGCTGAGGAGTCGCTGGCCAGAATTGGAAACTCTGATTTCTACAACATTGTCTTAATGTTGTTGGGAATTTTGAAGGTAAGCCAATGGCCGGTAGGGAACTCTTTCCTGGTTTTCATCTTATCCAGCCCAGTGTCACGTGTCTCAATGTGGCTGCACAAGGAGGAGGGATGTTTGCACCCCTTATTTGCTCCTGAATGAAAGCGGATGCCCGTTTGTTGGAGCAGTGGGGGTGCTTAGATTGGAAGTACATTTTTGAGATGTGAGGAAAGTGACTGCATGTGGGTCCTCCAGGTTCAGAGCCAGGGTACCTCTCAGGATCAGTTGCCAGGGAGCAACCACCAGAGCAGGCTCTTGGTTTCCTGCCCCATGTGTGGACTTCCGTTTGGCCACTGGCAGAAACAGGATGCTGGATTAGATGGACCTTCAGTCAGAGCCAGGAGAAAAAGTGGAGTTATACTCTTTCTTTGCTTCTCATGCTGGGGTGAGTGCTAATGTGACTATTTCTTATGATTCTGTACTGGGAAGTGAATGGGGTGTGCTTCGCATATAATCCACTGGAAAAGACACTTGTTTTGAAATGCAGCCTTGTCATCCAGTGGACAATGCTGTCCCAGTCCATACTCACCAACTTTCATTTGGTCCCATAGAGTCTGTGTTTGTCCTACAGTGTCAGAGCCAAAATGGCTGTTGTTTAAAAGATAGCGATGTCTTTTTATTATTTCTATTCTAGAAGAGCTAATAGGCTCCAGATCAATGTGGCAGGTAGCCGGGGCTTTTAAGAGCCATACTGGGGGCTCTGTGCCTACACTAGAATTAAAAAACCCACCCTAGGCAGCACAACACACTTTTAAAGTCCCACCTTTTTGGTCCTCAGATGCTTGTTACTCAGTTGCAACTACACTCCAAGTCAGCCTTCCTCAACCTGGCCCTCTCCAGATGTTTTGGGTTACAACTCTCATCACCCCTGAGCATTGGCTAACGGCCATGGTGATGGGAGTTGTAGTCTGGAACATCTGGAGGGCTCTTGGTTGCAGAAGGCTGTTCTAAGACCCTTATGTGTGCCCAGCCTTGCTAGGCCTGCAAGTCTTGTAGGCTCAACTGAGTCGTACTTGACAAAGCAGTTCTTCAGCGGAGACTAATCTTGCTGAATTGCCTTATTCAAGGTGGCCGAGGACGCTGCATTAAGCAAGGGGACAACTGGTACAGCCCCACCGAATTTGAAGCCATGGCCGGAAGAGCCAGCAGCAAGGACTGGAAAAGAAGCATCCGTTATGCTGGGAGGCCAATACAGTGCCTTATTCATGTAAGCTGGATCTCTCTCTCTCCCCCCCGCCCCCGCCCACTCCCCTTCTCTCTACAATGAAGGTAGGAAAATGCATTTTTCGTAACTGTTAGTGTAGAGAAACTGGACACAATGTAAGTCAAGTTACATGACTGTTAACTGCCCAGTTCTATGCATATCTATTCAGCAAATATTGCTGAGATCAGTGAGTCTTCCTCCTAGGTAAGTATGCACAGAAGGAGAGAAACCATGCAATCCAAAAAGGGTAATTTTCCTGAAAAGAAAGGCACTCTAGGCAAGACTCTCCACTTGCCCAGACCAGCAAGTTCTCAGCTGGGAAAAAGTAGGCCAATGTATTCAGAAGTGGTCAGCTTCAGCACTGACCTCTAGAAAGCAAAAATGGCTGTGGGAGCAGAGGAAGCTCCTTGAAACCCTCCCGGGGCCTTCTGTTGGTATATCTGCTCTTTTAACTTTGCTGCATCAGGGGTTTACTTATATTCCTATTAACAAATGACTGTTATAAAGTTAAAATGCCCTTAGGGAGGATCAAGAACTTAAAAGAGTAATTTCATTTTGGAAGATGCTGTATTTTATAATGTTTTGGTGAATCCTTTATTGAGGGTAATCCTATATGTGCAGGATTGATTGACTGATTGATTGATTGCTCTAAACAATTCCCAGCATTGCTCAACCTGCACTGCCGACTGGAGAGTCCTGGAAGCTGCAGGACTTTTTTCCTCTCTAAATATGCATAAGATTGTGCCTTTAGTTACTGGTTTTGGTATGTCTCTTGGTTTTAAACTGTTGCCATAATTTTGATGGAGATGTAAAAAAGATCCATATGGAGCAGAGAAGCTCATACCACGAGTTAATGCTCTTGTCACCCAAGTCTGTCTGCCTGCCAGCTACTGTATTCTACTTTTTCCTTAGTGTGTTCCTCTCACCCTCCAAGGAGGTATTTTCTTTATTGCAGCTCAGTGAAGTAAATCAAGTTATGAGCTACTGATTTTCTGTGGTTACCCAGTGAGCTTCACTGCTTAGCAGGGATTTGAATCTGCAACACCCCATCCCAGTCCACTATTGCATGACTGATTCTATTTGAAGTTAGTCTAACTTAAGCCGCCTTCATTTCACTGGGACAACTCTGAGTAGGATTACCTTTGGATAGGACCCCTGGCTCCGCAACAGTGGCAGCAGCAGCCTCTGTAAGGAAGCTGGACAGAGCTGGTCACCATGAGAGAAGGGGCAGTCTCCATGCTGAATTGCAACACGAGGAGCTGCTGCAGGATGCAAGTGTCATGGCTGCTTTGCTGCCCAAGACTGGGCCAGCAGCCATTGTCTGGAGGAACGGGAAAGGTTTTTCTGTATGCTGGTGCTCAGAGTCCCAAGACCGGCCCTGTGTTCTGCACAGGAGAACACGGGCTTCTTGGCATCACTTGGAGCAGGCTTCCTCCACTAATACTGCTCTTTTCTCCCAATTCAGGATGGGATATTAAATCCCCACGCTGCCTCGTGCACTTGTGCAGCTTGCTGCGACGACATGAGTCTGGTGAGTGCGCAGCTGCTGCTTCCAAAGCTGTTAGGATGGTGCATCTGAAGAGCTGTAACTTTGACAGGCCAAAGGCTGCTTTGCTTAGGAAGGAAAAGCAGAAGCGCAGGTGGTCACGTGCCCACCTCTGTCCGAAACCCAGGGACATTCCTTTGATGGTTGTGACAGCTGAGCTTTTGGTGGAAGAAACTTGACTGAGGCTATTAGAAATGCAGCGATATGGTTATTAACATATTTTTATAAAAATGTCACCACTCATTAAGAAATATTTCTAGTGGATTAAATGAATCCATTCAAATGGCATTAAGATTCAGTCAGACTACTACAATGACAGTCTTTAAATAATGTAGTTAAATTCATACCTTAATAAGAACATTTTAAAGAAGAGTCCTGCAGTGCCTGGGTGAATGTCCCAGGGACCACTGGATGCCTCAGAAAACCCATTCCAAGGTGGGGCACAATGCTCTGACATTGGAAAGGTGGGTCAGAAATCAGACCCCCAAGTCTCTCGCAGCTGCTGCAGAGAAAACTGTGCCAGCTGCCTCTCTGAGGTTGGAAACTCAATCTTGGGGAGAGGGGAAAGGGGCTGTTCTGAAGGCCAGGAATGAGGGAAAAAACTGCGGGGAGGGGTGCCAGGATGTGATTTCTCCTGCATTTCCTCCAGCCTCCTCCCTCCAAAGCCCTGAAGAGCCCATCTAGTGAAAATAAAGGGAATCAGAAGACGGAGGCAACAGGCCATCCCCGCTGCTTTTCCAGTCCTGCTGGCTTCAGCTTGTCAAGGCACAGGGATCTCGGAAGTCCCTTGCTCTGGGGTCCTCCAAGTAGCAAGGATGTGGTCAAGAGAACTGCATTCTTGCAGGGTTTCCCAGAGATGAGTGGAGGAGAAGCTAAAGGGTAGACTGGATGCACAGTGTGGAGGTAGCAACGGAAATTGCACTGTTCTCTGAATATTACACCCCATGATTATTGCCGAGTACATGAAGCCTACCCAGAAGGATAGGGTAGGCCACCCTTTCAACATTCTTCCAAGTCCCAGGTTTCACTAAAAATAAAATTTGTGGTTCCTTAATGAATGCAATAACATGTCACAAAATAGATTGTAACACACAGCTCCAGTATAAGCGCTACTTGGCTTGTTTCAGGAGTGACAGTGTAACAGAAGTACTGATTTAACACTGAGAAATTAGCCGTCTCCTAAATCATTTTAAGAACAAGGAGATTTCGTACTTATTAAAATTTATCTGGTGATCTGCTTTATTAAGGACCTTCACAACTCAGCCTGAAAAGGTCTTGTGCTGATGAAGGCCTTGTACTAAGTACACTGTACAAAATTCAGGGGAGAGTAAAAATTTTATTGTGGCAGTTTGGAAGGCAATTTATAAAAGACTGTGGGGAATCCTAGCGGTTAGTTAGCTTATATTGGTTTCATGAAAGGTTTATTCAGTGCAGTTTGCAATGAAAGGCCCAGAGTGACACAGAGATAATCACAGTAAAGAAATCTAATGGTTGTTTACTGTTTATCAGAGTGGTCCTGTGAGACTGTTTGTCCCCTATAAACGACGGAAAAAAGAAAATGAATTGCCTACAACTCCAGTGAAGAAGGATTCCCCGAAAAATATCACCCTGCTTCCAGGAACTGCTGCTACTACTTGTAAGTAGTTTATTCTTGGAATAAACATCCTTGTTAAATGAGTCAGAACCATCATATATTATCATGTACTATTTTTCTTTTGGAAATGGTTTGTGTATTGAACTACTAAGGGAGTGCTGTACATTTGATTGAACAGAAGACCTTCTCCTTTCTGCTTTTGTCATTTTGTTCAGAAAAGCAAACAAAACTAAGTGTTGTTCTTGATGTCTGTAATCAGTGTTTGTCCATCTACCAGCAGATGGTTTTGTTTTGTTGTCAGCAAAATGACTAAATTTTTATATTCAGTGTTTATGTTTGTTTCACCAACGTGTAATCTAACCCCGGGGTTCTCTCCACCACTGCCCCTGTCTCTTTGATCTGTAGAACTGGGAAGCTTTTGTTGTCTTCAAAATCTTGTTTTGTTGTCTTCAAAATCTAAACTTTTATATTCAGTGTTTATGTTTGTTTCACCAACTTGTAATCTAACCCCGGGGTTCTCTCCACCACTGCCCCTGTCTCTTTGATCTGTAGAACTGGGAAGCTTCTGTCCTTGTTTTTCTGTGTGTAGAACCCTGAAGCTTCTTTCCTTGCGTTGCTGGTATTAGAGGAGGATTGCCTTTGTGAAAGTTTGGTTGTGAGTTAGACCAGTTGGAATAAATATGGAGAGATTTCTAAGTAATCAAATGGGTGTTAACATTTTACTTAATTCTAAAATAGTTGCTACTTTTTTTTAGTCACTGTGACTCCTTCTGGGCAGATTACTACCTCCGGCACTTTGACATTTGACCGTACGTCAACTGTGGAGGCCACAGCTATTATCTCAGAAAGTCCATCCCAGGGTGATGTTTTCACTGGCACCACTGGTAAGTAAACTGACTCTTGCACACTCACATGTGCACAAGGTAGCTTGTGTAGATTTATTGATTCTTAGCACCAAAATTTCAGGGTAAGAAAGTCAGAGACCTGGTTTGTATGGCATGAGCTGTTAGCTTTCTTTGTTTCACAGTGGTTTGTTGTGACAGCCAAACCTGGCACGGCTTCCTCAGTGTGCTTTGTTAACCATGTGGAAGCCACTGGGAGAAGCCATGGCATGTCCTTGGGATGTTCAGGCTGGCCTGTTTTGAGAGTGGCTGGTCACGTTGCATGAACCCAGCAGAGTGGCCTGCGCATGGTTCATCGGAAAGGTCTACAGAGCTGCCTGCCAGGAGCAGTGAAAGAATTAAGTTTTTCCTTTTGATCCCACCAATCATATCCCCTCCTTTACGTCTTGAAATGAAATTAGCTAATTTACTCCTCTACTTTGTCACGTTCCTAGACAGGGACACCTCTTTTTCTCATGTTGGGCAATTTGTACAGAGTTAACATTGGTGATTTTTTCCACCTTCAGGGAAATTTGCACAAATGTAACATTTGTTTTTTCAGCTTCTTTCACCTTTGGAGAGTTTTGTTCATATTTTTTTTAAAAAAAAAACATTTTTATGACGCCCCATTCGCCGAAGCCTCGGGGCGGCTTATGACAATAAAATGTTGATTTTTTCTCCACCCTTGGGAAGATTTGGGAAACAGCTCAGAGGAAACTGCAGAGCAGCTGATTGTCTATCAGGGGTATTGTGAGACAGTGAGTGTACAAATCCACTGCACCTTAGTGAATTTGTGCAACTTTCTGAAGATTTGTTTTAATTGTATTTCCATTTGTGCAGGTTTCTCCTAAGAGGAAAAACAAATCTCATTAAATGGGTGCAAAGATCTCCAAAAGTGAAAGATAATTTTCCAAAATTCACTGTAATCTGCTTATAATTGCACTGTGTCCATTAGCCAAATAGGCTGTTGAGCCTATGCTTTAAAGACTGATGGGATATGTGCCAAGAGTGTGCAGGAGGACTAAGGGGGAAACAATGTACAGGGAGCCAAAGAGTGCCTGTTTGTCTGTGCAGAGTAATGAGAGTCAGTGAGTGTACAACCAACCAACTGCACCAACTGGAGCTTATCTTCAGAGTGGTTTATCATAACCCAGAATCTGAGGAAGAATGTGAGCAGACAGCAGCTAAATCCTATGGGCATTTACTGGAATGTAAATCATATTGATTGTGATGGGACTTACTTCTAGGTACACATATCTAGGATTGTAGCCTGAAGCAATTTTGACAATAAACTTTAAGCCCAATCCACAGGTGGTTATAAGGAGAGGTGTAGGTGTTAGTTGTATGGATCCTGAGTTCAGCAGCAGTGTTAACCTTTTCCTGTGTGAATATGTATTGAAGATGACTTGAGATTAGTTGTGCGCAAAAGGGCCCTGAGGGTGAACAACGCTAACAAAATATATTCTGTGCAAATGTCAGTCTCATTCACAAGATGTGGATTTAAATGTTAGGGAGCTTATCAGCATTTCAGGTTTGAACTTGCTTTATAAAATACTGAAGATATTTACTAAAGTAGTTTTAGAATTGCAGAAAAGCATAATAAGCAAAAACCTTGACCACTAGTGCATAGCAATCCACAGTCCTTACTAAACTGTGTTGGACTGGGGCATGCTGGGAGTTGGAAGCCTTTATTCTCTTAAAAATTGCATAGCATTATGCCTGGAAACAATAGTATTTGGGGTTGCACCCAATAATGTCCAGCAGGTTGGACTGTGCTGGCAGAATGGGTTCCTCTTCCATTGAGTCGTCTCCACACTTGGCCCTCCAGTCTGATCCAGAAAAGGTGAGGGGGGAGCGCTCTGGCACAGGTTTGGGAGGTGCATGGGCCACGAAAGGAAAGAGGTGCTGGCATCCAGGTGGCATTACAGGTGCTGATATCCAGTGACATGATGCTGGACTTCAGACTTTTTCTTTAGAAGAATGGCATTCTGTCACTAAAAATATCATGGGTATTTTAATTTTGAGATTGTCAGTATTCAGATTTTTGGTTTTATTATTCTTTATTGAAATGGGCATTCTATTCAGATTGAAATGGTAAATGCTGGGAATGAAATATATGTGTATGATTCTGTGTGTTCTACTAGTTGCTTGCTATTAAAAGAAACCCAACTGCTGCTTCTGTTTGCAAAGAGATGCCAGGCATTCTAGCTGTACTGTCTGCATTACCCTTGAACGAAAAGTGATGTGAACTGTCGAACTTATACTGAGCATTATCCAGTGCAACTTGAGCTAACTTAAGTTGCATTCATTATTTTTTTCTGCTCTAAGTAGGTCTGTTATTGGATATAACCCACTTTGCCTAGAGTTGTTCTAGCTTTCTTACTGTAATCTTACTTCTTGGATGCTCACATTAAAAATATCAAATCACAACCAATATTGAACTCTTTGATGAGTCCTGGTATTGCTCTTTCCCCATAGTACAAGACACAAATGTGCAGCAGCCTTGCCGAGTCAGTCATCCAGAGCCTCACTATCCAAGTTATCAAGACAATTGTCAAATCTCAGCATTCCCAGAAGCAGCACTGCCAACGTCCCATCGCAAAATTGGTATGGTTTGTCCAGCCTTTACAATAATCCACAAACAGCTAAATAAATGTGTTTTCTAATGTAAGGGATGAATATGCGAAGGATTTCTATCTCACTTTTGTTTGCTTAGTAAAGGTATTCAGATGGATGGATGGGTATTTTTGTTTCATTTTTGGTTTGCTTTTGTTTCCTTCCCCAAAGATCCTTTTCAGTTTTGCAGCATTTGGCGGCTGATCTCCCTACATGGAAGGTGTAGGATGGGAGTCAGGAGCAGGGGGGATGTGATCACAGCAGTCTCGGCCCAACATATGTAGCAAGACATATGCCAAATCTTTTTCTGTATGGGCCAGAGGACTGGTCAGGAGTCTGGAGAATGAAGACTCTGGATTCATTCACTTTAACATATGGTACCATGGCGGTCTGTTAACTACACCTGTGCATGCTAGCTGATTTACCCGCTTGCTCTTGCTGAGCATGGTATGCCTTAACATCCAAATGTAGCAAAGATGGGTAATTAACAAATCACCCAGCGACCCTAGAATAGGCCATGGGTTCTGGGTGGTTTGTTATCCACCACAGCCACGCTCCTTTGCCTGGTCTGGACATCACAAGCTGCACCTGGTAAGAGTAAATTGGTAAATCTGGTAATATATCACCAGCATGCACAGGGGCAGCTAGCAAGCGGCTGTGCTTTATTAAGCCACTGTCAAACTAGGCCTTTGTTGTGTTAGACCAGTTCCAGTTCAGTTACAGGGAAGGGAACCCTTTCACCTTTATCAGGGTGAGAAATCTGTTAATTTGGTTTGTCCCAGGAGATTGACAGAACTGTTGGTCTCTGGAATGCGACTGACATTGTATTAGCATTGGATGTGATAGATGTTTCTATCAATTCCCCGCTGGAAATTGGATTCTTGATTCAATCTTTCCCTAGTTGCTCTTTCCCTACTCCAGCGACCTGGTTTACAGATGAGGCTACAAAGCAGACTTTGAGGAAGCTGGAGCATGTGGCAAAAGACTGATTGAGTTTGACTGAGCCTGCTGTAGAATGTTGCTGCTTGTTTTTCTCCCCTCCAGTGACCTTTTTTGTATTTTTCTGGAAAATTTTGATTCTAAATTAATTTGTTACAATAATTACTGACATGCTGAAAGCAAAATTTGCATATATTGCTAACTTTCACTTCCCAGAAATGTTTCTTTTTTAAACTAGGCAATAAGAAGGCTAATGATGTAGAATGTATGATACTTTTGAAGCCATGGGAGGAGAACATCATTTTAATCATCTGTCAGATTCCCAGCATAGTGATTTCTTCAGTTCCCTATTTATTTATTTCTAAGCTGCCTGAAAGGGGTTCATATTGTTATGAAAGCTATTGATCTGGCCAGGGCGACTTCTTTTCTTTTATAACTTTTCTTTTATAACTTCTTTTATATCGTTTATATTTTTTATTTATTTTATATTATTAATTTTAATTTTATATTGTTATTTTTATATTGTATTGTATTGTATTGTATTGTGTTGTAAGCCGCCCTGAGGCTTCGGCAAGGGGTGGCATAGAAATGTTCTAATAATAATAATAATAATAATAATAATAATACTAATCTGTTCCTGATAGGCATTTAGGAATTTTCCAAATCATGCTCAATTTCCCAATGTGGGAGTAAGATCACACTCTTGTTCTGTAGAGTCCTGTATTTCTGGGCTTGTTCTGGTTAGAAGTTGTAGCAGTCGACTATTGGGACTGTTTGTGAAACAACAGTCCACCGAGGGTTAATTTACACTCTAGAGTTGCAATGCATGTCAGCCCCCCTTGTGAATAAGCAACCTCTGGCCAGGGGGTTGTTGCCTCATGCTGGCCCACCTGGCTGGGGTAAGTCAAGAGTTAAGCAACCTTCCAATAATCGCATTCTGTTGTAGGGTTAAGTGAGGGCTATTCTACTTCACAGGGTTGTTGTGAGAATGAGAGTAAGATAGAGAGGAGGAGGAAGATTATGGAAGCCAACTTGAGTTCCTTGAAAGGATAAAAGGCAAGCTATAAACCATAATAAATAAATAACCTCCACTGCCCATGTTTGTGTCACACCCCACCCCAAGAACCTCAGGTCGGGGACTGCATATGTATTATAACAGCTGGCACAAGTCACAGCTCCTGAAGAAATAGGTGGTAATGATGGCAACCAGGAGCATCATTTTTAGTGTCGAGGGACCTTTCCCAATGTTCCTTTTTCTGTTGTTCTGACTTCTAGAGCTTGGAAAGACCTGAAATCCTCTTTTGAGAACTGGTGGAATACCAGTAACACCAGCAGACACAGTATTATTCTCTTTAAATTCAAAGTGACTTGGGAGTATTCATATGGCTATGTTATATGTCTAACTTGCAAGGTCCTATTGCTTGGATGGATTCCTAAAGCGTCCATTTGTGTTTACTTGCTAGTATACTGTTGATTAAGTACTAGCTGTTATAAAGAACAAGTGTAAATATTTTGCTTTTTTAAAAAGAAACATTAGCGGCCTTTACTAGAGCAGAAGTATAAACACTTGTGGAAAGATCAGACAAATGTCAACCTCCATTCTTCAGTGTACAGAAAAGTACACTGAAGCTGTAAACCCCTTGCAAATATATATTTGTAGAGAGTAGGGCTGTTTTCCTAATTCACATTAAGTAACCATTATCCTATGAACACAGTTGGGCAAACATCTGTTGAGTTTACTAACTTAATAAGAGCTTTGGGGCTTAATGCATTAGTCTTCTCTTTCCTTTGCTTTACCTTTGCAGTTTTTTACCATACCAACAAGGTTATAAGCCTAACATGTGGTAAAGCTCAGTTTGTGTGTTAAAACAAAGCATAAAAGCGGAAGCATACTTGGCATAGAGCCAAATTGGCTCTTGTTAGGGCTTTAAGGGTGAAAATTATGGGGTCTTTCAAATTTGAGTAGTTCCTAAAACTTATGTTTCTGCCTCTAAATATTGGTTTCAAAGTTTAGGCTGTGGTATTAAACATGCTTACAGCTGGAATTACATCTGAGTAAACAGGCAAAGATTTCCTGTGTCTGTTTGACATTTTGTGAGAGAGCTTTCTTTGCAAAGCACTCCTTCTGCAGCCGGCGAACAAGGCCTTGCCGAAGGCTGGTTCTGTTCTCGTCACCATTCACATGTTCAAAGGGAAGGCACATTAGGTACTCCTGCAAGGTTATTCAGACAGCTGTGCCTCATGCACATTTTGAAAAAAGAGTTATGTGAGTAGCTAACAGTATGTGAGTAGCTAACAGTGTCCACAAATAAAAGGCAAAGCATGGTTCTATAATAAAAAAATTGTTATTAAACACAGCTGATTTAAAATCAGAGCAGCCTATAAAATCAATTTTGGTCAACATTAAAGAAGACCTGGGGAAATTAAGGGGACATGAGTCAATGTCAAGTGAACCTGTCTGGAGAGAACACACCTGAGTGGGCAGCTCAGAAAAGGGCTTTTTTCAAGTTGGCACCTTCATAGCAGGGATACTTGGAGAAGAGTTTCTGACAATTAGCTTCATGCATGGGCAGCTGGATGTCAGAGAAGGCGCTTCTTGCCTTATTTTCAGGAGCCTCCACATGTTTCTGTGGTGGAAGAGTACTTCCTGTCCACTCCCTTTGCCCACAGTGCAGAATCAAGTACACTGGGGTTGGTCTTTGGGCATTTAACAGCTTGCTCTTCTACTCTGCTTTCTGTGGGGGAAGTCGCTTTCTCGACAGGGACCAGGGGCACCCAGAGGAAGGATGGACTAGGCCCTTCTCAGATTATGTTCACATGAAGGAACTATTCAGGGGTAGGATGCATGCATAACTACTCCTGTTTCTTTTTTATTTAGTTGAATGAGAGAGAGAGAAGGATGGTATAGAGGAACTACTGGTGTTTAGGTGTTAAAGATCTGTTATGCTGCTCCAGCAGTTCATGCGAAGTGGCTTAAATCAGGCCTGGATAACTGGTGGCCTACCTTATGTTGCTGGACTGCAAACCCCTCATCCCTCAGCATTGGCTGTTCTGGTGAGAGTTGCAATCCAACAACAGCTGCAGGGCCACACATTCTCTGCCCCCGACCTTGGTGTAAGAAAAATAAGAAGCCTGATGGATCAGACCAAGGACCATTTAGTGCATCCTTCTGCATCCTGCAATGGTCATTCAGTGGCTTTTGGGATGCTTACTGCCAAGGAATAAATATGCCAGCCCCTGCCCTGTGTCTTGTCAACAGTACCTGTGCTTTGGAGCTGTAGGAAACAGTCCAGTTGAGATGGTTCAGTCTACCAAGCACAGCTGCTTTCCAACTTCTCTGGATTTCCTCTGCTGGTGTTTACATCTGGCTCCCAACACAAGTACTGTCAGGACAACACATGTAGTTTGCATTGCAGCAGTGCCTCAACGGCTCTGAGGTCAGCTTGCTCTGCTTCTGATGCCATCCTCTTGTAGAATGTGTGGTTCTCCACTCATGGAGCATCCATCCAGCTTTTCAAAAGGGGTGCCATGATGGAGAACATGGTGGCTCCCACCCTCTTCTACTCCCTCGGCAAAGCTATCTTAAACATTATTTGGCTTTTAGCTCATGGCACCACATATAGCTCAGAGCAGGTGCTATCTGGAAATGATTTGAGCTTCAGATATGTACCACACAATGATGGCCCAAGGAGAGGCTCTAGTGTCCTTCCAGGCTACAAAATGCTTTCTTTAAGAAAGGGCCCTGCGTTACTTCTGGAAGATGTAGTTATGAATGCAGTGCAGCTGTAATTAGGCTGAACAAATCGATCTATTTCTGGCCCATTTCAGTTTCACATATGTTTATTCCTAAGTTTGTTCCATTCCATTTCTGCATTAATTGGATGCTGTATCGAAAAGACTGCATGAAAATTTGATTTAAGTACATATTTTTGAGGTATTTCCTCATTAGATATGCATTTCCAAGTGTCTTTTCTCTCCAAGTACATTATTCTGAATGTAGAGTATATGTTATACTCTACTCATATTTGGTAGAGTCAGGTGCTGAAGATGTGATGGCTGTACAAGAAGCTTTAAATAAGGAAGTCTTTTAATTCTATGGATTTGTTTTGCTCTTCCCATTTTTAGTACTGACCTCACTTCCTGCCTTGGCTGTGCCACCCACAACCCCCATAAAAACAATATCCTCTTCAGTTTTGAATGGACTCGAAGTGACAGAGCAACGAAGCTGGCTCTACCTGGAGGAGATGGTCAATTCACTACTCAATACAGCTCAGCAGTTGAAGACGCTGATCGAGCAAGCTAAGCAGGCCAGCTCCTCATACAGAGAAGCCTCGGTCACTCAGGCAAAAATTCAAGCTGACGTGGAGAGGAAAGAGGTAACTGTGCTTTAGGAAATCAAACAGTTCACGTCCCAAATGTCTCTACAGCTTGTTGCTGCAGCATCCTGTTTGATAGTCCTGCAGCTTGTTTCTATTTGGCAGGAGTAGTGGCAATGAAATTCTCTCTACCAGGGAATTTCATTTACTTAGATCAGCCTCCCCCTCCACCCCATTTAGATAGGTTGGATTGCAACTGCCAAACTTAGCTAGTGGTCCTGGCTGTGGATGATGGAGGGTCTAATACACATGGAGGGCATCATATGGAGGAAGGCTGTTTTAGACTGCACCCTTCCATTTGGTGCAGAATGTTCTCTGCTCTGATGTCATCCAAGTCTGCTATTTATAGTCACCCTTTGGCTTTAGCAGTTAAAAAGGATACAATAGTTGTAGCTCAGGAGGTTGTATGGAAGACTGTAGGTTCTTGCTGTGTGCTAGAGCAGGTCTCTGTTTTGCCTTTTGTCTGTAGCCAGAATAAGTTATGGCAATTAATCTTGTAGTGTTTCTGCTTCTAGCATATCGGCTGTTGGAAAAGAATGGGTGGTGATAGGAGTAGAGACAGGAGGGAAAGAAACAAGGTACATGGTCTGTAGGGAGCAGAAACAATGGAAATGGACACTAAAGCACCAGCCACTTCTCATCCTTGTCCAAGTGTCGTCTTCTAATTGTCCAGCCAATTCACCAACTTTCCCATTCAGCAACAGCGGGTAAAAAACAGTAGATTCAGGGAGATGTAGTGGGTAGAGTGTTTATGTTGGAGATTTGCGTTCAGAGCAGCCAACAACAATAAAGCTCTCTGGGTAGCCTCGAGTAAACATGCATAAGATTGCTGCCCAAAAAGCAACTAGCCTAGCACTCATCCTCCAAAAGGGTCAGTCTGAAATCCCCAGCCAACTCCCCAGGCAGGCGTGATGGAGATGTTTGCTAGGCTGTCCTTTGTGCTGAGCATCTCATTATCTTGTACTTTGCCTTGGGATGAGGATGTCCCTTTCTTAGCCAACATTGTAAATAGCGAATGGTAAATCCATAATCAGTGAATTTGTCTTTCCTTTTTCAAAACTTTGGGCGCTGCTTAGCAACATTTTTTTAAAAAGCACTCACTTGTCTGTGGCATTGATGTAATTTAATAGTCATTATAAAATGTTTGCCTCTGCCTTGTACTGAGCCAGTAACAATTTACAAGCTACTCTACCAGCAGTCTTCTGATTGCCATACTTCTCTTGATCTGCAAAGCACTTAGATAGGCAGTTTTGGCCATTTAAGTGTGGTGCTTCAGAGCAGGAGGGAAGGAGGCTGACATGTCATCAAGATACATACCCTGGTGGTGCTGGTTTCCTCCCTTCCCCCAAAAGTCCTTCTCTGAAGTTGGCCTTCCAACCTGGGAGAAGCAGCAACATAGGTTCTTCCAACCTGGGACAGCAGCACTGACCTGTGAGGAACAGGGAGGGGAGTCTGAGCACAAATCCCCTGCTACAAGATCAGAGCAATTTTCCAGCCTTGTAGCTGGGCATCTGAAAACGCTGTGGCCATCTTGATGCTGTCTAGCCACCATAGGATTGCACTTCCAATTATTTTTTCTTAAAGGAAAACTTTAAGCAGAAGTAGCAGAGCTTTGGCAGAAGTAGCTGCTTCTTCTTGCCTCTTCGTGCAGATGTTCCCTGCTTTGTTTTCTTGGTATGGATAGAAAAAATGCAGGTAGAGGATTTGCTCCTAATTCTCTTAGTCCATTTTCAAGTCTACAGGCTCTGGTACATGTGAACCTGATCAAGGTGAGATTCCTACTGTGCATAATCCCTACATCAAGGTGGGAAATTCTTCCAACCTTGGGGGCCAGCTTGCCTTCTGGAATATCCTCCAGGGGCTGGGCCTTAGAGAAAGAGGGCCTTCCTCCCAAAGCCCTGCCCTCTGATATCACTGCAGTTGTTCTGTGCCTCTTTGTGGCACAGAGAGAGGTAATGCTCTCTTTGTTAACGCTAGAAAATCAGAGGCTTTCTGAGTGCTGGACAGGGCAGAGGAGAGAGGATGGGTGTGAGAAAGAAGCCGGCAGATCAGATGAGGGACCCCCATCCCACCTGCTCCAAGCCAGATACGACCCGGATCTTCTCCATCCTTGCCCTACAGCAGTGCAGCTAGTTACCTGTTTTTATCCAAATGTGCTGCAGCTCATTAGGCTGACTCATGGGATCCTTTCTGTAATGGGAGAACTCAGCAAGTAAGAATCAGAGTGTAGGATATGGAATAATCAATTCAAGTTGCGACAACCCAGATTCAGGCTAGATAACAGGAAAAATTTCCTGTCAGAGCAATACGACAGTGAAACCAGCTGCCTGGAGAGGTGGTGGTGGGCTCTCCCACACTAGAGGCATTCAGAAAGAAACTGGACATTCTTCTGGGTGGGATGGTAAAGATTGGCGACCTGCAACAGCAGGCTATTGGAACCAATGGCCTTCCTGGCCCCTTCCAACCCTACTATTCTATGTTTCACAGTTTGAAAGTCAGCAGTGTACTTGCATAAAGCAAGATAAATAAACAGAGAGAACTCTCAGAGACAAAAGCGTAGAGGTGCTCCATGGTTCTAGTCAAGAGAAGGAAAAAGTGCTATCAGTTCACAAGGGGAAAGGAAGAGTATTAGAGAATTAATGGCTCATGTTCTGATAGGAAGGAATTGCCCATCTATAATAGTTTATCCTGGACAGAAAAACTAAATTACTCAGGATCCAGAAATTACTAGCCACATATAAAGGATGAGTATTGGCATGTAGCTGAAGTTGCTAATTTGTGCAAACGAAACATGCTGATTTTCAAATGAAACATGCTGATGCTAAGGACAGGTGTTTAATGTGTTGCAAAGAAAAAGACTGTGCTTGTCTCTGTGCCTTAAAAGTCGCCTTTCCCTATATTTGAAACTTGCAGAATTTATGCTGTGATTCATGCGCTTTCTAATGTTTTCTGAATCTTAAATGGGAAATGTAATGAGGTGGCTGGATTTACATCTGCTTCTTAACAGCCATTAGAAGTAAGTGGGATCTTTGCTATTAGTATACATAAGAGCCATAAGGAAGCTCCTTTCAGAGTCCATCAGTTATAGCTAGTACTGTTCTCCATGGTCTCCAGAGGCAATGTTCTTTCTGCTTTTTGCTTTTAAGGAGTTGGATACAACATAATAGGGCAGTCCTGCATGCTAATATTTCCTGCTGGGAATAGACCAGAACACGTGATCACAGAACTGGGCTTTTCTGCCCTTTCCTTTGCTCTGCAGCTTCTTGAATCTTCCATAAACCTGCTCTTGAGGGTTGGGTGACACTGGAACCACATGGAATATGGAGAAGAGTTTTGGTAGAACAGACTCCTCAATTACATAAGTGGTGGAGTAACTTAGGATCCATGCCTGTGTGAATAATGTTGGCTTCTCAAGACCAAAAAATAAAGTTGTTTCTTATGGCACAGTGTTCTGCGAGGCTTGTCAGAGCATTGTTTTTTGCACTAGTCATCCACAGAAAGTATTTTTATACCACAGGATGCTTCCTGCTAAGTTATTTCCTCGCTTGAGCTTGAGGGTTAGCTGCATGACTAATTTTAATTGCTTTTCAGACTTATGTACTTTAATAAAGCACCAGCCAGAGCCCTTTTCCTTAAGTAAGAGAAAATAAGATATTGGGGCAATTATTCAATTTTACATTTATTTAGATCTTTTGTTCTATTTTTTTCTTATGCTGATGCTTCTTTGTGCAAGTTTAGATTTTTTTCCAGTGTGCTAAATAATTTTTGAAAATGTGTCAGATTTTCCTGAATAGGACAATCTGGAGCATATGCTGGACTATGCAAATATATAAACTGCTGTCATCCCGCCCTTTGAGCATCCTGTGCCAATTTTGTGTCAGTGTCTGCTGCAGGATGAAAACCTGTTCTTTTTTCCCTCTAGTAACATAGTTCTTGGCAGCAGCAAGAGGCAGCAGATGCTGTTTTTTTATAGCTGAATGAAAATACCTGGGAGCAACCATATTTGTTCTACCTGGCCAAGAAAGCTGCACTTTATTTTCCCAAACAGCTGTGGGTGCAATGGTAGAAACAACGGCATGCTTTCTGTCTTACTGGGCTCTGCTTCTTGGTACTATATTGCTCAGGGACAGGGGGAAGAACAGCTAAACATCTTTTCCTGGCTTGGTGCCTTCTAGATGTGTCAAATTGCAATTCCCATCATCCTCATCAGGCACATCATTTGTTTTTGGTAGAATGAACTGGTTTCAGTAAAGAAAAGAAAAGCTGATTTTCCAAAAAGTATTACTTTTTCTGACCAGGCAAATCCAGGTTCAAAACATTTACATTCAGAAATGTTGTAATAGCTTGAATTGGAAAACTGCTTTTTTCTTTGAAATGTTTTTATATCTACAATTTAAAGCTTCCATGGCAGTTTTGAAGTTTTCATGCAAGCATTTGGATCCGTACAATGTCTTTTTGAAAGCACTTCAAACAGTAATTTTTCCTGGAATCCTAATCTTATTTCCTTACTAGAGAGAATCAGAAAATTGTGTGATAAATATTACATAAATGTGAGCCAAAATTTACACACACATTCTTATTAAACAAAGTTAGAAAACTCTGTTTTCTTGTTCTTGTTGGCATTACCTGCCAGGGCCTTCATGCTTTCACTCCTTCCCAGCTTCCTTTTGGGCCACAGGAGGGAAAAAAATATGCCTGTGTTGTAACTGACAAGAATGGGTTTCCTTATATTATACTTAAAAGTCAATATCTGGATGGTCATTAAAACAACTGGTTCATCATCAGACCCATTCTGGCTGGGAATCCAGACCTGTTTTGGAACAGAACCTGGAGAACAAACCTTTACATTAATGTGGAAGGCTCAGTCTGGTAGGCTGGGAGTGTGTGTGGCCAGCACTGGAAATCTTAGACAGCTGAAGCTCCACCACTGGCTGAGTCCTCCCTGGCTCCTTAGCTGCCAACTTAATGTGTCGTCTCCTGCAAATCCCCTCCTTATGGCT